TCGTGAATAATACCATCACAGAGAGTAAGCTACAACTTGTTAGCTTACATCATATAAGCCAACTATCGAATTGCGAGTTCTAGAACAAGAACATTTGATCATAAATCTCGCGTAAAATTAAGGGTTTTTGAGTTGCCTATGGCTTACCAAGAAACAAACGTACTTAATGTTATCGTAGCTAGGTTTTTTATTGAAATAATACTATGATTTATATGATCAGATCATCACCAACCTTAAGCTCGGGAAGTTGAAGTTGGAAGACCGGGGTGAGACCGGTCATCTTGCCTTTGAGGTTTGTATACGTTTGTTGTGGTGTTTTATCACCGGGAGCTGAAATAAGCCAATACTCTGCCATCCTGTCAGCTAGTCTTATCAAAAATCTAAGCAGTTAATGCTAACATGAACGTGTTTTTCGTACGAATCTCCGAAGACTTAACTACCACCGATCTATCACTATTTTCCCAACTTGAGCGCATGACTGTCACGTGCACGAACGCTGGCTCATCCTATCGCCGGCGACTTATCGATTTCACTGGAATGGCTTCTTCTAAAATCGATTGATGATTCGAACTTGCCTTTATATGGTCAAGGGGACTTCCGTTTCATGCGAAAAGTCAAAGTATATTATTCCTCAATGGCTGCGAAGGGTCTTTCTCACTTCTTTCAAAAGGACAAGGTAGATAAAATTGCCACTAGATTTGTTTGTTCCGTTGTTACAGTTGGAAGTACGTCGAATTGACTTCGTTTCCGCATGATAATTGTTTGTTTTGTTGTGATTGTATGGTTGTACAACATTTATAAGTTGGTATCTGTAGGAATCCTTACACATTTTGCCTATCAAAGTCGCTATCATTGACTTTGTGTTATCTTCCAGACCTTTCGTCCGAAAAGGAAGTTGGAAGAAGGAACATTACGTTACGAACTACACAAGCAGTCCAAGGTACCGTTTATAAAACATAGAAATTAAATACACTCAGCCATTCATAGTTTGATTCGATCTTCATGATTATTTTATCAGTCGTTTTGACGCGCTGAAGCCGTTTAAAACTAACTTACATTCTTGGTGTCGTTTGCCTTTTCAAGGCCTCACTTCATTCCGGCATCAATCTGAAAGCATGCGTGAAACTCCCAGCTGACGAGGATCTCAATGACTGGGTGGCCGTGCACAGTAAGATTAAAATCACAGCTCTCTAATCAGACTGAACATCTTAAAACGTAAACCTCCCAGTCTTAAATTACAACTGTGGGAAGTTTACCGACTCCTGTTAACAAAATGGCGCCTGATTACTTTCTTAGCTTCTTGAGATACATGTACAGAGTACGCATTCGTAATGATCTGATTTCATGTAGTTGTACCACTGTTGTAAGATAAGCTGATTTAAATCACTGACGAGCTCCTTTAGATAACAGATGGCGAGGAAGATAACTTTCAGTTTATCGATTAAAGTGCTTTCTGGATAAATGTATTTAAGATTTTTTGAATTTGATTTTGCCTTGGGGCTGACATATAGCTGTACTGTTGCTGCTGATCAATGTTAGCCCATGGTTAGATTTCTGGTTTTCATTTTTTATTTTATTTTATTTCATTTTATTTTATTTTATGTTTTTGGTTTTCAATATGAAGTTTGATCAATACCTCCTAAAAATAGATGCCCTCTTTCCAGACATGTCCACCCCTGTCAGACTTCAAACATTGTCTTTTTTACTCACATACACTGCCTAAGGGCAACTAAGAGTTTTAATTGATTTTTCCTAGTTAGGGAGCTTAATGTTACTGTAATTTTATGGTGTATCCCTGCAGCTCCCCACCCTGCTCTCTCCCCACTAGGGTAAATCAGTTGGAGATGTAGAGATTTTGGCATTGACATATACATGTACATCATATAACAAACTAGACTTGTTTTCCCTTCCTTATAGAGTAAAACCACTCTTGAAAACAAGTCATTCCACTACAGACAGGGTGCTTAATTTGCAATATAATGTAATTGAATCATGCACAATTTACACTCGTCTGTATCTGTATTTAATGCAGTTGTGGATTTCTTTAACCGCATTAACTTGATATATGGTGCAATTGCTGAAGTCTGCACAGAGGAGAGCTGTCCCACCATGTCTGGAGGAAAGAGGTTTGTTTTAATTAACTATGTATAAGTAGCATTTAATTTTTTTCCTGAGACTAAGCATATCCATTGAAGTACATACCTGATATGCAAGATCCATGTTCTGATTAATAGACTAGCATGCAAAAACCTAGCAATAGTAGCGTCTGTCTTCGATGGAGGCCAGGCCTGCAGTCCTACAGTCCCCCACCGCCCCCTGCCCCCCTCCCCCCAATTGATACTGTATACTGGTACTGTACTGAAGAGGGGTGGGAGTGATAAGTTAATTATAAAATATTTTTGTGTACAGTATCAACATGTGTTAACTAATGACATTGTGAATACCTTGTTCTTTAAGGTACGAGTATCACTGGTGTGATGGAGACAGATACAAGAAACCAACATCAGTTCCTGCACAAGAGGTATGGAATTATCAAAACTTATTATCCATGATTGTGTGAGTTGCTCAAAATTTTCGCCGAGCCTTGTTTATGCAAGCAACCTCCTCTAAAACCTCTATTACATCTCCATGCTGGTTTTCTGTGGGTATTTTTTTTTTTTTTTTTTTTTTTTTTTTTTTTTT